TCGCCTCCCCTCCGTCAGCGGCGGAGGGCTCGGGCGGGGTCGGCAACGCGCGACGATCCACCTTTTGCGAGGCAGGGCTTTACATCCACCGCCTCGGTTTCAGGGGCCGCAGGAGGTCTAAGGTATACATAGATGTACATGTATTCATGTATGCAGCCACATGTTCCTACATACATACATACATACATACATACATACATACATACATACATACATACATACATACATACATACATACATACATACATACATACACATACATACATGCATGCATGCATGCAGACGTACGTACAGACATACATACATACACACATACAAACATGTATACATACATACATGCATACCTACCGACCTACCTACCTACCTACCTACCTACATACATACATACATACGTACATACATACATACATACATACATATATACGTACATACATGCATACATTGCATACATGCATCCATACGTACATGCATGCATGCACACATACCTACCTACCTACCTACCTACCTACCTACCTACCTACCTACCTATCTACCTACCTACCTACCTACCTACCTACCTACCTACCTACCTACATACATACATACATACACACATACACACATACCTACAAACCCATCGACATACATATATACATACATACACGCAGCCATGCATGCATGCATGCATACATACATGCATGCGCACATACATACATGCATACATACATACATACATACGTACATACATACATACATGCATGCATGCATGCATGCATACATGCATACATACATACAATCATACAACCATACAGTCATACGTTCATACCTTCGTACATACATACATACATACATACATACATACATACATACATACATGGATACATACATACACGCATGCATGCATACATTCATATATGCATGCATAAATACATACATACATGCATGCATGTATACACACAACCATACATACATACACACATACATACATGCATGTATGCATACATACATACACATGCCTCTATGTCTTTCGATGTACGCATCGATGGATCAACTTGTCTGTGCATAGACATGTTCACATCTCCTTCTGTACACATACATATACACACATACACACAACGCCTCCCAACTTCGCGCAGCGCGCCCCGCGATGCGCGAGAATCTACGCGCCCTCGCGCCGCCCCCTCGGAGAAGGGCAGCCGCTGGGGCCCAGACCGCGACGCGCGAAGCGCGATAGCCTTCGCGCCCCCGCGGGTGACCTCCGGTCGGGAACATTTGCTTCGCGTGCCGGGGCGGCAGCCCTGGCGACGCGCTATGCCTTGCGAGCGGATGGCGTGCCGCTTCGCTCCGCAGGGGCGGGAGGCTAGGACCGGCTCGGGACGTGGATGCCCGGGACGTGCCGCGCCAGAGAGCGGGGTGGGCACATGCTGTCGTAACGGGTGGATGGGGGGGGGGGGGGGGGGGGATGACGAGGAGGATGAGGAGGAGAAGGAGAGGCGGAGAGGAGGAGGAGGGGAAGGTGGAGGAGGAGAGGATTGAGGAGGAGGAGGAGCGGAGAAGGATGGAGTGGGAGCCGGGGGAGGATGCGGGAAGAAGGGAGAAGGAGGAGGAGTAGGCAAGGCTGGGGGAGGAGGAGGGAGGGGGAGCTGGGGGAGGAGGAGGAGTGAGGGGGAGAAGGAGGAGGGAGGGTAGGGGGGTATGGGCCAGCTCCGTCGGAACCTTGCCGCTCAGGGTGCGTGGCAGCGCCTCGAGCAACACGATCTGCGCTGGGACCATGTACGCCGGCAGCCTGCTGCCGCACTTCGCCCGCAGCGCCGCGGCGTCGAGGCCCGCGGGCGCGCAGTAGGCGACTATGCGCTGCTGCAGCGCCTCGCCGGCGACGACGCAGACGGCGCTGCCGGCGCCGCCGCTCCGCAGGGACTCCTCGATGTCCCCGAGCTCTATGCGGAAGCCTCGGATCTTCACCTGAGCGGCGAGAGGAAAGACCTCCTCACAGATCGATCCGCCTCGAAAAATGGCGCAGAAAGATTGGGTCTAGGGATCCGGGCGCGACTTGTCACGGCGTCTCATTTTTTTTTTTGAGACGTCGGACCTCGGGGGAGGTCTTTCGCACGATGGCATAGCGACTTTACGCGGTGGGTTGCGCGGTCCGCCAGCACGGAAAGCTGCACTGGAGGTGAGGGCGCTTGCGCGTCTTCGCAGCTTGCGCGCGGTTGTCCGCGAAAATCGGCCCCGTTCTCCTGTGCCGTGCGCCTGGAAGTCGGCGCGGCCGATGAAATCCAGAACCCCCGTCTCGCGCCACTGCGCCAAGTCCCCCGTGGCGTACAAGCGTCCAGCGCGGCCCCCCTCGTGCGTGTCCTCGGGGATCTCCCGACCCAGGTCAATCCAAACCCGGGTCAGACAGGCCTTGCAGGATCCTGCAAAATCCTGCACCCAGGCCAGGGGCCGTGCACCCCCGGCCCTGCAGTATCCTGCAAGATCCTGCGCTCTGACTGGCCCCCGTTTGCACTGACCCCCGTCTCTCGAGCCCAGTGTCCTCCACGAACTTCTCCGCCGTGAGGGCGTCCAGCCCCAGGTAGCCGCGGGCGATGAACTGCCCCCCGAAGTGTATCTCGCCGGGCTCGCCGATGGCAGAAAGGCTGCCGCCAGGCGTGCGCAGCAGAACTCGGGAGCCTGCCACAGGGGCGCGGGAGGGAACGGGAGAGGAGGAGGAGGAGGAGGAGGAGGAGGAGGAGGAGGAGGAGGAAGAGGAGGAGGAAAGGTTGGGAGCTCCGCAGGAGGGACATGCCGTGGAAATAGAGGAGGAGGAGGAGGAGGAGGAGGGGAGAGGAGAGGAGGAGGAGGAGGAGGAGGAGGAGGAGGAGGAGGAGGAGGAGGAGGAGAGGGAGGAGGATGGAGGATGAGGAGGCTGGAGGATGAGGAGGGAGGAGGATGAGGGAGGAGAAGGGGGAGGAGGACGACGGCGCAGCCTTCCATGGGAACACCGATCGGGATGAGCTGCAAAATCTCGCCCTTCGGGCAGGACCAAACGGTCATCTCTCCCTCCGTGGGCCCGTAGAGGTTGACCAGCTGCGCGTGCGGCACGGCGTCGTAGAACTGCTGGACCAGGCCAGCTGGCAAGGGCTCGCCGCACCTTGGCCGCCCCGACACGCAAGACGCAACCCGTTGCGTGGTGACACGGATGGATGATGATGATGATGATGATGATGATGATGATGATGATGATGATGATGATGATGATGATGATGATGATGATGATGATGATGATGATGATGACGACGACGATGACGATGATGATGATGATGATGATGATGATGATGATGATGATGATGATGATGATGATGATGAGGAGGAGGAGGAGGAGGAGGAGGAGGAGGAGGAGGAGCAGCAGCAGCAGCAGCAGCAGCAGCAGCAGCAGGAGGAGGAGGAGGAGGAGGAGGAGTGAGGAGGGCTCAACACGCTGATTTAACACGTACGTTTGGCGCGACACGTTCGCTAACACGTGGGCCAACAGGTGCCGAGCCAACACGCAGCGTGTCTTAATGCGAATGCCGTGAGCGCGGCACAGGTTGCGATGTCAGCAAGGGTGCAGCAGTGCAGCTGAGCGCCGCACGTGATTGCCGTCTGGAGATGAGGCCACAACGCGCCGCCGCTCTGCGCCTCTAGCGCCGCGTACTCCAGCACCGCCCGCAGGACGGACGGGACGAACACCTGAGTTCGTATCTGGTGGCTCTCCGTCAGGGCGTGGAGGTACTCCATGTCCTTCTCCCCGCCGTCTCGCGCCAGCACCAGGGTGGCGCCGTACGAGAGCGGCCAGAAGATCTCCCACTCGGACAGCCCGAACGTGTAGCTGTGCTTGAGGACCCCGCACTCCCCTGGCCGGATGGCCCACCGCTTCTGGAACCAGGCCACCCGGTGCGCAAGGCCGCGGTGCTCCACCACGATGCCCTTCTTTAGATGCTCGCTCCGTGGACCTTCCTGGAGCCGCTCGCTCCACTCTTGCATCGATGCTGCCGCGAACGTCCGTCGCCTTGGGTCGAACTTGAGTCGAACTTGAGTCGAGTCAGAGCCGAACTAGAGTTGAACTCTGCTCGAACAGAGTCGCCAGGTGGGCCCAAGGAATAGAGGCCACCCAAATTGAGTCTGAGCAAATGGGGTCGGAGAATCGCGCCGCATCGCCGATGCATCACCGATACATCGGCGCCGCATCTGCGATGCATCGGCGACGTCGGCATGGAGAAAACCGGGCTTCACATCAAGCCACATCGGCAATGCATCGGCATTGCGGCGCGATCCTTCGACCCCATGAACTCGGACCCCATTTGGGAGGCTTAGAAGCAAGGTCCCCAGAACGGACACCTGACCTTCGGCTTCCCGGTGGAGCCCGACGTGAAGAAGCAATACACGGCCCCGCCGCCTCCCATCGCCCGACCAGCGCCGAGAGGGTCCTTGACAGCAGCGGGCGCCCCACCCGGCGGCTGCTTTCGAGGAACAAAAAACCGTCATAAACATAAACTTTCGGAGGTCTGCGCTATCTTGGATCGGCGCTGGACCCCCTCCCTGGCGCGCGGAGCGCGCCAGGGGCGGCGCCGGAGGCGCCTCCAGAAGGCTCAAGCGCCGATCCAGGAAATCCGCGCGGACCTCCGAAAGTGTACGTTTACACTCAAGCCCCAGAGGAAGGATGCAAGGTAAGGATGCAAGACCCTTGGAGGACGTCCCATTTGCTTAGGATGGGCCGAAGCAGCAGGGATGTCAGGGGGGCAGCCTTCATGAAGCAGCGCATCCTTACTTTGGATTGAGAATGCATGCCATTGTTTGTTCCTCGATTCGGCGGCGAGCCCGAGGGGGATGTGAGAAGGGGCTGATCTCCTTAGAAGGCTCGGAAACACCCCGGCCATCTGAGACGTTTCCTGAGCCTCCCCCGAAGACACAAAAAAAACCCTCAGAAGGCCGAAGGCCTCGGGAGAAGCCCCGCCGCCTTCTGAGAAGGCCTTTTCCTTCTCTAGAGAAACAAAAAGCGGCATAAACATAAACTGCTGGCTCTCCGCGCGGATTTCTTGGATCCGCGCTGGACCCCCTCCCTGGCGCGCGGAGCACGCCAGGGGCGGCGCCGGAGGCGCCGCCTGGGGGGGCCACAACGCGGATCCAAGAAATCCGCGCGGAGCGCCGTAAGTTTATGTTTATGCCGTTCTCTTGTTCTTCGATCATGTCTACCTCGCGCTCGCTGCCGACCGATGCTTCCCGCCCAGCGCGGCCTCCACGACGGGGCCCAGTTCGAGCACGGACGCGGCCGCGCCCGCGAGCCGCGCGGCGCAGCCGGGCCCAGCGCAGGCGGCCCGCGGGGACGCCTGCGCGCACACCTCGCGGTCACCCTCGGGACTTGTGCTGGCGCCTCCTCCCCCTCCTCCTCCTCACTCCCCCTGTCCTCCTCCTCCTCCTCCTCCCCTCCTCCCCCTCCTCCTCCTCCTCCTCCTCCTCCTCCTCCCCCTCCTCCTCCTCCTCATCCTCCTCTCCTCCTCTTCTCCTTCTCCCTCCTTCTCCTCCTCCTTCTCCTCCTCTCCTCTATTTCCCTCCTCCTCTTCTCCTCTTCCTCCTCCTCCTCCTCTACTTCCTCCTCCACCTCCTCCTCCTCCTCCTCCTCCTCCTCCCTCCTCCTCCTTCTTCCTCTTTGCTTCCTGCTCCCGCATCACTCTCCCTCCTCCTCCTCCTCAGCGTGAGCTTGTCCACCCGAGCCCTTCAAAGCGACGCAGTCGGTGCATTGAATGCCGAAACAGACCGCACCGCCATCGGTGGAGCTGAACAGGGTAAAATCCCCAACCTCCCCCCCCCCAACCAACACACAAGCACACTAGCAAACAAGCAAGCAAGCAAGCAAGCAAGCAAGCAAGTGAACAAACAAGCGAACAAACAAACGAACAAACAAACAAACACACGAACAAACACACACACACACACACACAAACACATACACATACA